TGAAAGTGAAAATAATAGCACTTATATACATGTTATAAGCCCTTTTTCAGGCTTTTGTGCCTTAAACTCTTGGAGAAATAGGAACAGAGAAACTACCTGTAATAAATGTCTATCCAAGGAATAGTTTGGTAACTGAAATTGCTACTGCAGAGCATTTCGTTGCCTTCCTGCCCATGTTGATGCAGAGATTTACCATAAAATTTAAATACTTTGATAAAGTTACTTCTACTACACCTTTGTTCGTGTCCATAATTATGACCTATTTGTCAGTCTGTGGTCTCTTTTTTATCAACTGGAAGTGGGATGTGATGGGAATGGTGATGTGACTGGAGTTAGGTTATTCCTAATGAGTGACTAGAGGAACTAGAGGACTGCTGGACTCCTGCGTTCTCATCTGCTGTGAATTTTCCTCGTGCTGTGCCCCTGACTGTGCTGCTGTCTCACCTTCAGTTGCTCTGAATGTAAGGAAAGGAATGTTCCCTGCGTATGCCAGGAGTTTCGGAAGCAGCAGAAGTGGAAGAGAGCAGAGCTTTATATCCTCTGATATATCCACTCAGCTCAAGACACCACCTCTTCTTGGGAAGTTCAGCAGAGTGACATTGCAGAAATTATGTAAAGAAGGGCATTTAAAACACTTTTTAGATCATTCTGTTACTATGCTGCCCTGTATGCCTGCCCTTCTCCTATTTTGGAGTTGTCTTTTCCTACCCCCCATGAATTTTGACTTTTACAATGTGGCCATCCCATTTTCCTCCAGAGGATGAAGCTGCATTTATTTATCAATATAAATTTATTCTGCTGTTCTCATCTGCCTAGCATTGCTGTCTGTGGAGTATTCCCTAATGCCTGGGTAAACTCTTATCTATACAAGTCTGTCTCTAGAGGAGAGAGGAGCAGGTTATCAGGGATCAGACAGCAACCCTGTGGGAAAATCCTTTTGCTCTCTGCTTTTGTTTTGTGGTGGAAAGAAAAATGGTAAATATTAATCCAGCCCATCCTAACCCCTTATTCCTGGGAGAGCTGGGCATGTACAGACCCTTGTGAGGAATAATTTGGGAGTGCAGAAGCCAGCAGAGATGACCTGCTGACTCCTGTTTACTGGTGCTGCAGAGCTTAAAATAGCTCCAGCTTTTGTTTCAGGAGAGAGGTTGATGCAAGGCTCTGGGCTTCATTCCGTGGAAGTATGAGCCAGGCTTTTGGGGTTGCTTGGGAGAATCTCAGCCAAGGTTGTTTGGAGCTGTTAAACCTCTGCATTGTGGGTTTGTTTTGGTTTTTTTAATATCACTTATTCATCTTAATGTTCGTTTTCAGCTCCTGGCCATTATTGCCGTGTCTTATATAGTCTTACATATAAAAGGAGAGACTTTTATATGGAGGTAGAAAACAGCCACCTCCTGGGATTTGTAAGGTTTTCCTTGTGTAATCCTAGTTAAATAGAGAGTGGGATTTTCTTTTTCCTGGATTGCTACAGGAAAAGCCCAGATTAATAACCATTTAGTGTCAGACAAGATGACAGACAAGGACTCCATGTAGTAAGGTAAATTTTCCTTTTATCTCTATGTGCTAAAGACAAGAAGTCCAAGGCAGATGATATCACAGCTCCTGAAAATAGCATCCGTATCAGCAACAGAGATCAAGAAGCCCTCTGCCCTTCAGCAGGCAGGGTTTATAGCAAGTCCAAAAACAACTCAAAAATTCTTATTGTGTTCTTTGATGAAGATGAGATCATCTAATTTAGATTAAAGTGTAGGAACTCCAATTCTCATTTGAGTTACACAGACTGGGAATGTTCAGCAGAGCTGGAGGAACATGGGTGTTTTAGGGCACAGAGGAGTGATTTCCAAAGGGCTGAGCTCTGAGGCTGCAGGGGAGGGCTCTTGCCATTAGTCTGTGTTTAATTAAAAGCTTGACAGTACACATTGGGGTGGCCTGGGGACAATCCTGACCCACTTCCAAAGGGATGAGGAGTCTGGAAGCATTTCTTTAGCAAATGATAAGAGGGCTGAAAGGGGCTGACAGTGATGGGGTTTTTTCCATGTGAGTCTGACTAGAGAAAATTCCTGTTACTTGGATCAGTTTCTGGAGACAGGTTCATATCCCACATACTGAGACATACACAACACCCTTAGGAATTTCTCTAAATCTCTTTTGAGGAACAGAAATAAATATTTGACTCTAATCTTCCTGTACTGGCTATCTCATTACTGGCTTGTTAATCTTCAGTTTTTGCTAAACAAGATCTGAGAGAAATTTTTATGTTCCTGCCTTGCTATCTTCCAGTGATCTTATAAAGCTTACTGGATTTCTGGGTTTAACTTGGGAATTGCTTGACCATCAAACTAATTCGGTGGCAGGATGGGGTGTGAATTTGAAATGCAGTAGCAGGAACTGATAGAGCTGCTTCGGGAAATGTCACTGACAGAGCTCACTTTCCTTTTTTTCCTGGTTAGAACATTTTTTCAGAAAATATCTCTTTTTTTTTTTTTTTTTTCTTCCTTAGGAGTTATTCCAAGTCAAAATGTTTTTTCCAAGTGCAGTCAGTTTTTTAAGTAGGTGTTTGGGGTCCTGCTCAGCACACACTCATTTTTCCCAGGCACATGGTGGGATTCTTGGGGTGTTCTGTGCAGTTCTGTTGGATTTGATGATCCATGTGAGTCCCTTCCAAATCAGGATTCTATCATGATTCTATCATTCAAAGATCATGCTGACTCTGCTGTAAAATTTCCAGGGAAAAAGCACTGGTGGATAACACAATTGGTAGAGATTGAGAGCTGACCATGGCCAAGACTTGCTTCAGCCCCTTGATGTGTTCCTGGGAGCCATAGGCACAACAATCCACCTGGATCACTAATGCATTCCTGCTTTTCCTTACTGATAGTTTCCACATCTCTGTGCATTGTGTGCTCCCATCTGTCAGGTGCTGGGAACTGCAGCCTCTCCCAGCATGTGCTCTCTGTTCTGTGCTGTGAGAGATTCTCGGGAGGTTTCATCAGGTCTTCGCTGACCATGGACATGCAGTGGGATTTTTCTCTGCCCCCTTTGGATCTCCATCCATCTTGTCATGGCAGGCTGACGTCTGCTGGGCATCCAGTACTTTTCATTGCTGCTCTTTGGGGATTCTCCAAGTTCACCATTTGGAAGAGTCTCTTCCCAAGCAGTCTTTGCCAAGGTTTGAATTTCTGGGGAAGGTTGATGTTTTTTCCAGAGTAATCTCCCAGGCTTTACTCTACCCTAGGATTTGACATGATTTTTAGGCTCACGTTGTATCAGTGGCTGTGCCAAGGAGACTCCAGGGATTGCCTTGTGCCTTGGCAGAGCAGCTGTGAGATCCATGTAGGAGGAGAATGGGAGCAGCTTTACCTTGTCCCTGACAGCTTTGGCAAGGGCTGTCTTGGGGAGAGTTTGGCCACACAAAGTTTGGGGCTTGTTCCCAGACTTGGCCTTAAATGACTGAGGGTTTATTTTGTTGCTGATCTGCCATGTTTGATGGAATTACCAGCTCAAAAGGCCATTGCTGAACATTGTGAATTTTTTCATCTGTTCATTTGCTCAGAACAGATTAAAATATGACCATCCATTTTGCCCTTTCTCTAGGACTTGGGCAGGAAGCACTCTCAGGCATTTCCAGCTGATTTCCCGCTATGGCTGTGCCTTCAGCATCAGCACCAGCAGCTGTTCCAGCACTTCCTTCCAGCCCGTTGACAGGTGCTGCCATTTTAAATACTTTCTACGAATTATGAATCATGAACCAGGAGCCTTACAGAGGTATTGTGTTGGCAAACAGACTTCTGTTTCCAAGAACCTTTCCTTCTATTCCCCGAGGGTGGAGTGTTCCCTCCACCCCGTTCCAAAAGGGAGGAAGGAGAAGGGGAAATTCAGCTGCTGTTTTCAGCTTTTCAAAGAGCGGCCCCTGGTGTGGACCTTATATGGAGAAGGAGAGAGAAATTGTACTTGTCCCACCCGGACTGGAGAGTCATTTAGATGGGGTGGGGTGGGGGTGTACAGCTGCTCCCAGGGCTAGTGGGAGTTGTGAATCATGGGGATGATGAAATAGTTTGGGTTGGGAGACGACTGAAAGCTCATCTCATTCCACCCGCTGCCATGGGCAGGAACACCTACCACTAGAGCAGATTGTTCGGGAGTCTCGTTTATCCTTTGGGATGGGGCGGAGCGGGGGCTGGAAGGGAGCAAGGCAGGAACGATGCTTGGGACTGCAGGCAGCGCGACCTACAACTCCCAGAAGCCTCTGCGGGAGAGCCCGGCACCAGCAGCCAATCGGAGCCCGCGCTGCCGCGCTATAAAAAATGGCCGCGGAGGGATTTCCGCCTCTTTCTGCCATGGTGGCGAGCTGGGGCGGTTCCGCGGCGGCCATCGGGGACCATCCACCGCCATCCGTCGTCTTTGGGGCTCTCCCGCCACTCGGCTCCGCCGCATCGGCGCCCTGTGGGCATGGCGTCCGGCCGCGGCGCTTCGGTGCGCTTCGAAGGCTTTGAAGGGCAGCGCGGCCTTTCCCCCGCCCTCCTCCTCAGGCCGGGCCCCGGGTGAGTGAGGGACCCTCGAGGCTGAGCTAATGCCCTGTCCCGGGCCAGGCGGCCGCGGATGGAGAAGCCGCCCGGCCCTATCGAAGCTGCGTCTGTCGGTGCGGTGGTAGATGCAGTCAAAAAGGAGCCGAGAGCAAAGGGATTTTCCTCGACGGTCGCCGCTCAGTTGGAGCCTTCGTAACTGTTCGGCAACATTTCGGGAAAGTACATGGCCCGCCATGGGCTGGGGGGGGCTTACTGGTGCTGGAAGGAGGCGGCTGCTTCATATCCTGCCCTGGGGTCCAAATTGATGCACGGCGTGGGGGAGGGGGAAGGAGTGTATCCCATCTTTCTGTAGTTTTATTTTAATTTACTTCTCTCGCAATTTGCTTAAAGCTGTCTTCTTCCCCAGCAGCATCCTGGCGTAGAAGGTGATCCCGGGACATGGGATGGCTGGTGACAGCCTCAGCTTTGGGCAGGTGAGATGGACGATCCTGGTTCTGGAGTCCTCTTTTGAGAGGCTGAGAATTGGTTGGTTTTGAGGCCTCCCTGGACCAGAGTAGGGACCAGCAGCGTTTCCTGCCCCTCTGCTGTTGGGCAGTGGCAGCATGTGCTGTTCCGAGGCTGTGCATCCTCCACGGGGCTTGTCCTTGGGGCTGAGCCCTGCAAACTCCCTTGGTACTTGCTCCATCCAGACGATGTATGGGTGAGATAAGGGCAATTCCTCTCTCTGGGGCCGGCTAGAGGCAGAACTGGGTGCCAGCCCTGATCCCAGAGCCAGTCAATCACTCCATCACAAACTTTACCAGATAAACTCTGTGTTAACCTGCATGTTAATCCAAGAGCTGTGGCTCCATGCAGTAGCTGCAGGTCTCCAACAACATGCCAGAGCAATGGGAAGGTCTTTGACTGCTGGGCCTTTTCTGCCTATGGCTGTCACTCACCCCTCCAATACATTTTTGGGAATTGGGCTGTTCCTTGCTTGGGGTTCCAGAGTGCAATGAGTCAAAGGTGTGTCCACAAAAGTCTGCAGCCTAGTGCTGATACTGGGGGTATATTGTGATGTCTTCCAGGGGTCCTGCGTGTTCCAGAGCTCACCCATCTGATGGATAGACCCAGGTGAGAGGGTAGTACCCTTGTTGAAACTCCACAGCCCATCCCTCCAAATCCCTTTCCCACCAGATCTGAACACCGATCTTGTGGTCGAAAAAGGAGGAAGAGTAACATTCATGCTGGTCTTGGGCTCTCAGCAGGTGTGTCCTGTGCTGAGAGGGGCCACTAGGAAGACAGGCTGTGCTGGCCTCACTATTTTGGGAATTCTGGTTAGGAAGGAAACTCCTGGTCAGGAGAAGGGATAAACATGGGGCACGGGGGGCAGACATGCCATGAGGGTTGGGGAGGCTGTAATTTATTGGGAATATCTGAGCCGTGGATTTACAGTAACCCATTGCCTTCAGGCACTAAACTCCAGCTCTGTTTTTTCAGCAGTAACTCTGGAAAAAGACTAAAACCTGTGAGCCCTGTCCCAAGGGCTTCAGCTTGCTTTCTGTAGGACCTGAGTTGTGAGGAAGCTGCAGTGTGGAGCATGTGAGTGTTCTCTGGAGAACTCCTGGTGTTGGGGTGGGCAGTAAGTGGAAACTAGATACTAGGAGGAATTTCTTGGCTATGAGGGTGAGAAGGCCATGGTTGCCCAGAGAAGCTGTGGCTGCCCCATTCTCTGAAGTGTCCAGGGCCAGGTTGGATGTGACTTAGGCTGTCCTGGTCTGGTGGACAGTATCCCTGCCCGTGGCTGGCTGTGGAGTGGGGTGAACTTTTGAGGTGCCTTCTAACCCAAACCATTCTGCAGTTGTGTGATCTCGAGTGGGGTCTGGAGGACAGGGGACAGTTCAAGCTGATTGCTGGAAGTGGCCAGTTGTTCACCTGGACTGTGCAGGTGGGAATGATCACCTTGTTTCCAAGGCTTTTCATTGGCCAGTTGTGCTCTGTGGTGCCGGGTGTGGGTGAGGTCAGTGGCAGTGCAGCCTGGTCCATGATGATTCCTGGGTCTGGAGACTGTTGGATGAGTCCTGCGGATATGGGGCTGAGGCCAGGCAAGAACTGCCCAAAACCACAGGGCAGGGAGGGGACGTCCAGGAGTTCTGGAATGTGGATGGAATCTCACACAGTGCTAAGCCTGACTGCTTGTCCTTCAGCTGGATTTTTTTTTATCCCTTTTTTCAGGTCTAAGCAGAGGGTGAACCATCCCTGATGGACTTGGTGCTGCAGTGCCAGAGTGTTCTTTCCCAGCCCTCTCCTCCAGAAGTGGGAGCTCTGCAGAGCCAGATCCTGGCTCCTTCCTGAGCTGTGAGCTCTGCCAAGTGGGATCAGCCACTTCTGGGCTCCCCTCACCTGCAGTGGAGGGAGGTAGAACTGATTTGGCTCCAGGTATATCTGAAGCTCTGGTTCATATGCTCCACCTGGAAGAACAGTCTGTTCCATGGAGTTTTCTCAGGAGGGAGTCTGGATATTAAATATTTGATTAGAGGAGAGAGCCAGTAATGCCAAGGTGGTGGGTTTGATCCCTGTACAGGCCATTCGCTTAAGAGCTGGACTCAGTTGTCCATGTGGGCCCCTTCCAGCTTGGAATATTCTCTGTGTGTGATAGGAGTTTGAATAAATGCAATTACTTCAAATCTTTATGGTGTCTCCAGTGTTTGAGTTGCATTGGGATGGGGTGAGGCTGGGCTGGCTCTGAGCTGTGGAGCCTGAAGATCCCCTTCCAGTGGAGTTCACCAGTGCTCGGAGGCAAGTTCCTGTGCTTGCTGTAGCACCTGCCAGTGGGATGTCCCCCACAGGGGTCCCTGGAATGCAGAAACACCGTGGGCCTTCATGGAGGGGCTAGAGCAGCTCCTTGCAACCTCGGAATGATCCAAAGCCCTCAGCTGGAGAGTTGGTGATTCTGGCTGCCTATTTTCTCACCATGGAGAAAAATTGGTAGTGGGGAGCGGCAGCCTCTGAGTTGGAGCCACTCTTTATATCTGTCCCTGAGTGGCTGGGCTGTGACAAAGTCCCTGAACCTGAGGTAAATGTTTGTCCTGAAATAATTGGGCTGGTGCCTCTGACTCCTCTAGTCTCCTACCTGCAGGTCTTGAGAGCCCCTTCCCTGTGGAGCATTTCCCAGGATCTTGGCTCCTGGGGACCCCAGGGGGTCTGCACTCACTGCCTGGTTGTCCCTGTTGTCACCTAAGCCAGGCAGTGGAGACATGAGAGACTGCCAGTAGAGGTGGACATCCAGAGCTGGCATGTGGCCACACTAAACGTCCTGGCCACAGCAAATGGAGACTAAATGCCAATGTGATTAGAGCTGAAGCTGTGCTGCTGCTAAGGTTTGAAATGCTGGGCTGTTGCTAGGGTTTGTGATTTGGAGTTTGGTGGTTGGGAAACAGGTAAATGGATAAAAATCGTTTTAAAAACAAGGGAATAAAAAAGGCAAGTAAATTAATTCAGTGGTTTTCTTAAGTGGTTAAGAGAACTATGCAGCAGCTCCAAAGCCTTTTTCGTTTGTACACCTGAGAAGAAAACTTAAACTTCTTTCCTCAGCATTACCAGGAAGGAGGAGGACGGAGCTGGCAGCTGCTCCCTCCCTGGGACAGTTTGTTTGTCCGGGTGACTGCGGGGCCAGAGCTGTCCTTGTCCCGCGGTGGGGTGGGGACAAGGGTGGAGAGCTGTCTGTCGCTGTTAGCACAGCACGAGTACGGTGGGTCGGGATCGAGTCAGCTCAGCCATGGAGACAGAGATTCCCCCCAGGATCCTGAGCCCGAGGGACACTTCCAGTTCTGTGTCATCACGCTGGGAGATGCAGCCGTGGGCAAGTCCTCCCTGCTGCGCTGCTTCACTCATGGGCCGACTGGGGGTCCTGGTGGGGCAGCCATGCCAGGCCCTGCCGTCGGCGTTGAGTTCTACAGCCGGACTATCCCGATGCCACCCACCGGCAAGGCCAAGCTGCAGCTCTGGGACACGGCTGGCCAGGAGCAGTTCAGGTGAGGCAGGCATGGGGACCCCAGCATGCCAACCGAGTCCTCTTCCCACTCTGGGGTGTTTGTAAATCCCCAGCTGGGTGTGCAGGGACAGACAGCGATGGCTCACTGGGAAGGTGATTCTTTAGGGGCCAGTGATGCCTTGTGCTGAGCTTGCAGTGACACTGTGGTTGTTCAGGGGAGCAGCCAAGGGAGCAGGGCCAGATGCTTGTTGCTGTGTGCTGGTGGTGGGCTGGGGCTGGGTGGTTTCTTTCCTGATTGCATCAGGCTGGAGCCAGGAGCACCTGGGAATGTGAGAGGCTCAAATGGGGCTTGAAGGGCTGAAGAACAAAGTGCTGTGGCTGGAGCTGGACTCCCAGGCCCCCCCCATCCCTGGGAACCTTTTGGGGACCGGAGGGTTGGCTCTGGTGGTGCCCTATTTCTGTTCAGTGCTGCCCCATCCCCACAGATCTGGGGCTTTTGCGGGGATAAACAGTACCACAGAGTCCCTGAAAACCCCACAGATCTCCTCTGGAGCCCCCCAGTCTGGGGAGAGGGATGCTGAACAGAAAATGGCAGTGTAAATGCCCAAGACGGGTCTCCCTTTCCCACTCCTGAAGTCTGATCTGTCACCCAAAAATCTCCCAAGCCCCATCCTAGGGTTGCTGGTGTTAGAGCTTCTCAGTATCCTTTGAAAACCTGCTGGGTATGCTCAGATCCATCACCAAGTCCTTCTACCGGAGCGCGGCGGGGGTGCTGCTGGTGTTTGACCTCACCAACCGAGCATCTTTTGAACACGTTCCTGAGTGGTATCACGAGGCTGCGGGGGACGAGCTGCCTGCCTTCGTCCTGGTGGGACACAAGTGTGACCTGGTGGATGAGCGAGCTGTGTCAGCAGAGGAAGCTGTACACCTCGCCGCCACTCTGGGCATGGCCTTCGTGGAGACCTCGGCCCACAGCAACCTCAACGTGGAGTTGGCCTTCCAGACACTGGCTGGAGGTATCCAGCAGGCACTGGGCCAGGGGATCCTTGCCCCACACCAGGGATGTGATGGCATCAGGCTCATCCCCAGCCAGAGTCACCGCCAGCCCCTGGCAGGGAGGAAGCCCCACAAGCGCAGCCAGTGCTAATGGGGATAGGGGGACGTGAGACCCCCAGTTGTGGGGATGCTTCTCTCTCCACCCAGCACCTGCAGCCCTTGGGTGACCAAGGGGGTCGGGTCTCCCACCTGGGCTTGGGTTTATTTCAAACCTTAATTTGGGGGCTCTGAAAAAAATAGTACTCCGCTGTAGGAGTGTTTTTAATAAACCTAACGCTTTTCCACATTAAATAAAGGCTGTGCCAAGCACTTCATCCCAGGCAGGGGCACAGCACTCAATCCGTGGCATGGGGGATCATCTGCTTTGGGGGGCATCACTGGTGGGGCAACAGCTCCCCTTGTCTGGGACACTTTTCAGGGTGTCCTGTCCATGGGAAAATGGGAGCAGGTACCCCTTAGTGCTTCCTGCTGGATAGAGCCAAAATAAAGGGGACAAAGGGGCTCCAAAGGGGCCGCGCGGCACCAATGGTACTGGGAACGCCTCCTGGGTGGAGGAGCTCCCTGCCTGCCTGAACACGCTCCTGGTGTGGGGGCGGCAGGTCCTGGCAGGCGGCAGAAGCACCGATGGAGCCACGGTGGCAGTACCAGTTCCGAGTGATCATGCTGGGGGACTCGACAGTGGGGAAATCCTCACTGCTGCGGCGCTACACCGAAGGTGCCTTCCTGGACGCTGTCAACCAGACGGTGGGGGTGGACTTCTACGTCCAATTCGTGGAGCTGGAGCCAGGGCTGCAAGTGAAGCTGCAGTTCTGGGACACAGCCGGGCAGGAGAGGTTCAGGTGGGTGCATGGGGTCAGGAGGGGTGGTGGAGATGGGTGTCCCCCTCCAGATTTGGGGTGGAGTGTTGTGATTCCAAGCCCAAGGAGGTTGTTGATGTGGCTGTGTTCCCACTTGTCTGTTTGGGTGAGGAACCACCATGTCAAAAGCCAAGGGAAAGGAGCCCTTGGGACTGCCTTGTAAGCCCTTGCTCCAGCTCTGAAGGGGGTACAGTACTCCCTCAAGAGCCCCCCTGCCACACCAGCTGCAGAAGGACTGGCGAACAGCTGGGAACCCACTGAGGGCTGGGCAAAACTTCTTCCTCAGCGGCTAGGAGCCTCACACCTCCCTGTGGGGCTGTCTCCACCAGCCAGGCAGCTCCTGGGAACAGGAAAGCTTGGGAGATGTTGGCTGCAGGGGATGAGAGTGGCAGATCTGGGTTTGCAGGAATGGGAAAGTTCCAGGACTGTTGCAGCAGAGATGGGAAAATACTGGGAACATGGCAGCAGGGACAGAAGAGTTCCAGGACCATGACAGCAGGGCTGGTGGAGCCCTGGGGACATGGCTGCAGGCACAGGGGCACTTGGGGGCTGTGGCTGCAGGAGACAGATGAGCTGTGGTGGCTGAGCACGGACAGAGCTGCCAAAAGGCTGATTCTCACCCCTCTCATGGTGCTTTGAATGCAAGATGGGTGCTGCTTGCAGGAGCAGGTCCTAGACAGGGCCACTCTGTAGGCAGGGAACATGCTGCCCGAGGTGCCACAGGAAACTCCAGGGGCCACTCACTCCCCTGCTCTCGGTGTCCCCACCCCAGGTCTGTGACTCGCTCCTACTACCGCAACTCAGCCGGGGGGATGCTGCTTTTCGACATCACCAACCGCACATCCTTTGAGAGCATCCGGCAATGGCACCAGGAGGTGACTGACACCATCCAACCCTTCCGCATGGTCTTCCTGCTGGTGGGGCACAAGAGTGACCTGGCTGGGCAGCGCCGGGTGGGCCAGAGGGAGGCAGAGAAGCTGGCAGCCTCACTGGGTGTCCAGTACGTGGAGACCTCAGCCAAAGATGCTTCCAATGTAGTCCAGGCCTTTCAGATGCTGACAGTTGCCATTTACCAAGCGCTGCAGACGGGGCAGTTGGTGGCCACTGAGGCGTGGGACGGGGTGAAGAGCAGCATCCCACTGCCAGGGCTGCCCAAGGCTCAGGCACAGGAGAAGGAGGAGAAGCGGAAGAGATGCTCGTGCTAGAGCTGAGGACACTGGCAAGGCAGGGACATGCTGGGCTCAGGAGGGGAAGTGGATATGGAGCAGCCAGGCACGGGCAGGGGTGCCATGGGAAGCGCGTTGGAAGCGTGAAGTCCCCAGGTGGAACCCCACAGGCTTGCAGAGGTCAATGTTACCCTTTCCCCTATGCTCTCTTGTACTGACTGAGATCCCTACCATAAAGCCCTAAATCTTTAAGTCTTTCCAAATAGAATTAAAAGTGACAAATTTATCGTGGAACTCAGATGATGTATCTGCCACTCCAACTGAGTACATGCCTAGTTGAGCCCAAAGAAAAAATAACCACATACCATTCTGAGGAAATGCCCACTTTCCCTTTCAGATTAATCTTCATACAATATAATTTGAAAAAAACCTTCTCTACAAGGTTGCAGAAAGGAGCTCCCCAGGCTCCTCATCCCACAGTGACATGAGGAGTGACACCAAGATGGTCATGGGATCACTTCACCCCCCCGGTTTCCCCTGCAGGTACCGGGAGCCTCCAGAGAGCTGGACAAGGAGGAAGAGCCCAGCTCTGCCTAGGGCTGCAGAAGCCTTCCTGATCCTTCCTGTCATGCAGGGGTTTGCACTGCTGTCAGCTCCTGCATCCCCACAACAGCCCCTGCATCTCCTCTGAAGTCTGAGCAGAGCAGCGGGAACAGCCAGGGGCATGTGGCCTTTGCAATGTCCAGGCACAAACAGAATCAGGGGGACTCTGACTTCCTGCTTTGTCACAACATCCCCCTCCCAACAGTCCTAATATCCCAGCAATGGGTTGGAGGTCAGGAGGGAAATGACCCCGCCACCCTGACTGGCAGGTGAGGGACTGGCCAAATTCTTGTGGTCTAGAAAGGTCTGGAGGGGAGGAAACCTCTGGAAGAGCAGCTGAGGGCACTTGGTTTGTTCACCCTGGAGGAAACAGGGGAGACTCACCAGCATGTGCAGCTCCTCCCAAGTGACACCTCCAGTGTCTGCTCCCTGTGACCACACAGGACCTGAGGGAACAGCTGAAGCTGTGTCAGGGGAGGCATAGATGGCATATTAGGAAACAGTTCTTCCCACAGAGGGTGCTCGGGCAATGACCAGGCTCCCCAGGGAACAGGCACAGGCCCAAGGCTGCCACAGCTTCGGAGAGCGTTGGACAGTGCTCTCAGGCATTGGGTGGGATTGGTGGGGTGTCCTGGGCAGGCCGGGAGCTGGATTCAATAATCCTTGGGGATCTTTTCCAGCTCAGGATATTCCATGATTCTGCTCCCTGTAAACTCTCAGGAGATCTCCCACAGAACAGCACCACACACAGAGCTGAGGTGACAGGGACCCCTCCCCCTGCCATCCCTCTGCAATGCTGCCTGAAGAGCACAAGCCTATGCCAGCAGCTTAGAATAATTTCTTTATTCATGTAAAACAAATGCAAGTATTTATATAAACACTGACATTACAAAGTACTGGAGCAGGTAGGGGCAGGAAGGAGGAAACAAAAACCTCTACAGACGCTTCTAATACTGTCCCACACACGATCAAATGCTCTGTCCCTTAGATAATCACTTGTACAATAAACCACTTTCAAGTCACAAATAAAAGTCTGTTTGAGATATGTCACACTTTGAGGAGGAACGAGAAGAGGGCGTAGAATGTTTTTGGCAGGTCTCCTCATCAAGTCAAGATATTGCTGCACTGTTAATAAAAAATAGATGCTTCTCTGTAAAGCATTAAAAAAATATCCCACAGGTGACATCATGGAGGCTTCAGTGGAGCGGCAGGTATCCCAAACTGCACTGGTGGTGTCTCCAGCTCTGTCCAGGGGGCTATTTCTTGGTAGTTTTGCGGATCAGTGCCATTCTCTGCAACAAGAGAGGGAAAACCATGGGAAGCTGAGCAGCTCAGAGTGGGAGACTGCACAACCACCCACAGCAGAAACAAGGCATCCCAGGTGCTCCCAGGACACGGTCTGACTTGCTTCCACACTGGTTTTACAGGTCTGTTTGAATCTTAATGGGGCTCCAGGCTGAAGAGGAGAAGGAAGTATCTGTGCTTCTCCACTTGGCAACTTGGGGCAGTGGAATTAAAGCCCATCTCAAGGCCCCCCTCTCTGCCCAGTGGGAGCTGCAGCATCACTCATGAACCCACTGCAGGGCAGCTCCTTCTAGGCTCTGACCACGGCTTAAAAACCAATGGTCCAATGCAGTTTAAAAGCAAAATTAAGGGTGTTCTCAGTTCCTTTCCACAGAGATGGAGTTGCCAGGGGCAGCTGAGAAGCGCCTGTGTGCAGCTCCCAGTTGGTTTTAACCCTCCTAAGCTCCTCAGCACCAAGAGCTGCTGCTTCTCTTTGGGCAAAGCCAACATAGCTGAGGAGACACAGCAACCTCAGTCTGCTGCATAAACAGGTCAGGAGGCTCTGGAAGTCATTTCTGGTCTGAACAACTTGGAAGAGGCCACAAATTCACAGTGCCAGGAGGCCATGACCTCCATCCTCACATCAGCCTTCCATGTGATTCCTGGTGTTGTGAGGGCGCCTTACCTGTTTGTGAGCTTCTGTAGTGCAGGCTTTTTTGTAGGGCCTGATTTCTTCAGAACCAAAGCCCGGGATCCACATGTTCCACTGGCGCTCTGGAAGTCACAGAATGTTTTCAGTTGGAAGAGACATTAAAGCTCATCCAGTTCCAACCCATTGCCACAGGCAGGGATGCATTATCTACTCACAGGCTTCCACCACAGCACTGCAACTGTGCCCTGACTCCAGGAGGAGCTGAGAGCTGGGGGTAGAAGGGAAAAAACCAGGTAAGAGTCACTCACCAAGGTGCAACTGGACATCTTTGACTTCCAGAGTGTTGGACTTGCGGTGCCGTGCAAGCTGGCAGGCGGCTGTCACCACACTCTCAATGAAGTCGTCAGCAATCTGTAGCAGCATCTGTGGTAGAACAAGGGCAACAATCAGTCTGGTCAGCACTGAGCAGTTGAAATTATGTGGGAAGATGAAAACGAGCACTCAGAAGCTGATATTTAGAATTACAGAATGTCCTGAATTGGGAGAGACCTGCAAGGATCATCCAGGCCAGCTCCTGGCCCTGCACAGGTCACCCCAGCAATCTCTATCCTGTGCCTGAAAGCACTGTCCAGATGCTCTTTAAGTCTGGCTGCCTGGGGAGCATGGTCAGGGCCCTGCACCCTCTGGGGGAAGAACCTTTCCCTGATCTCCAGCCTGACCCTGCTCCAGCCATTCCCTGGCTCCTGTCCCTGCCATGGGGAGCAGAGGTTGGAGCTGCAGTCCCCACAGGACAGAGCTCTGCCCTCAATCTCCTTTGCTCCAGCTGAACACACCAAGAGCCCTCAGCCACTCCTCTTATGGTCCCTCCTGATTCTTCCCCATCTTCAGAGTCTCCTTTGGGAGCCCTCTGATAGCTTTAGATCTTTCTTATATTGTAGTGTGCAAAATTCCACTCAAAGGAGTGGATTTCATAGGTGCTTGCTGCAATTGCTGTTTTAAAAGCCTTTTTGGGACTGAGATGCAGAAAACCAGGGATGGCTGAAGGCTGCATGGGAAAACAAGCGTTACATGAACTAAATGCTCCCTCCTTGGATAAATGGCCACTGATCTGTGACAAATTACAAATTAACTCTTTCTGCAGTCCCTTCCATGGGCTGGAACCTACTTCTTCCACATCTTCATCCAGCTGCTCATTCGGATCCACCTCACGCACCAGGTCTTGCAATTTCTTCTTGGTTAAAACCTGAGCGTGTGGGAGGAGAGGAAGGATTTACTGCCCTGCTCCTGCAAAGAAGCTGCCCGTGGAGCACAGCCACAACCACAACCACAACCACCTCCTCCCCCATGCCCCCAGGGCCGAGTCACACTGTTGACACAGTCTATCAGCTCAGGAATGGCAGAGATAAGAAATATCAGGTGTTAAGGAGTCATTTTCAAGCACCAGCAGTTGCTCTGGACAGCAACTGGAGTGCAGCAGCAAGAATAAATGTTTCCAGCATGAAAATGCGGCTGACAAGGAGTGGAAAGGCAAACCTACAAGTGTTAAGAAGCAGACAGCAAGTGCAATCAGCATAGCAGTGACTAAAGTTGTGCCTAGGGCATGAGGGAAGCATTTCCACCACTCTAGCACTTATCAGCTTTAGTGCTTCACGTGGAAAACAGAGTTGTGGGAGTGCTGGGTTATTCCAGGGCAGTCGGACGTGGCAGGAGCAGAAACCACACTGGGCTGAACAACAGGATGCCGAGTCTTAAAAGATACGGATGGAAGGTGTCAGCCTGGCCCGGTCAACCAGATACATGGGAAATTCCTGCCCTTCCTCATTCCTTCACTGCTGTGGCTGTTTTATGTTTTATGGGGTTTTATGTTTTATGGGGTTTAGTGCACTTCCTAACAGTCTGGGTGCCAGCAAAGCCACCAGGGAGCAATGCTGGGACATTCCCTGGTCAGCAGTTTGTTTTATGCGCATCAAAGGCTCCTGTGCCAGGCTGGGTTGGAAGGGACCTTAAAGCTCATCCCATTCCACCCCCTGCCATGGGCAGGAACACCTTCCACTATCCCAGGCAGCTCCAAGCCTCATGCAACCTGGCCTTGGACACTCTCAGGGATGGGGCAGTCACAGCTTCTCTGGGCAACCAGCACCTCACCACCCACTTCTTCCCATATTTTTCCCATCTAAACCCCACTTAAAAATAACTTCCCCTGTCACACTCCAATATACACTTTCCTAAGACTGGAAAAGGCTCTACACCTACAGCATCCAAACCCCATCCAGCCAGGAAGCACCTGGGAGAGAGGAACTCTGTGAGGAAGTTTTGTTCACTCAGTAACTGAGTAAATTTAATAAACATTATATTTCTGCTGGTGATTTAAAGAAGGCAAACAAAGCCACAGGCAAATCTGTGATACTTGTGATGCCCGAGCATCATCCCTGTTGTCCCAAACTGGGGATGGAATTACCTGGTTGCTTTCAGGACTGAGCCGCCCTCCTCCACTGGGTGC